TCGATCTCCTTTTCAAGTGTAATGCAAGTTTTTGACACCGTATCCACATGCAACTCATAAAACGAGGTTTCTACAGCATCAATAAGATCCTCGATCGTTCGAGTGCACTTTTGATACTGCAGGCTTTGAATAGAGTTAAAATATCCTAAGTCTAAAACGTTAAAATCTGGACTATTCGGCGGCTGATTCATCACTTCAATTCCGTTGATACTTCGCGACTTCAGCATACTTGTTGTCAAGCACTTGTGGGGGTTGGCATTATCTTGTTGGATTATAACACCAGTCTGCGGTGGGTGCTTGGCGTGCCTGTGATACAGTTCAAAGTTCCCACCGCAGACTGGTGTTATAATCACTGCTTGGCGTGCCTGTGATACAGTTCAAAGTTGTGTTTCGTACACCACTTGGCGTTCATCAGAGCGGAGGTGGGTGCTTACGCTTCGCGGTGCGTCAACGGGACGAGGATCGACGCAACGAAAGTTGGTGCGGTGCGAGTGCATAGTGAGGGTAGTGTCGTGGAGGGTACAGTGTTGGGGCAACATGAACATTCGTGTAATGATAATGTTTTAATGGCACCCAATAATATCTCGACAATCAAAATGCAAGTTCGCAAACTACCCAATCAAAGCCTAGTTCTTGCGCTTTTTGATGCACCAATCGCATCGCAAATTGGGTGATATTTAGAAAAATTCCGCCAATAGAACTACCTAAAAACTATTTTGGACCAGAGTAGTACTACACCTTTTCCCAATCAAGTTGCGCACTTTTTCCAATCAAGTTGGCAAAAAAACCCGTTTGAAACGTCATTTTTAAAACGGTGGGTGGTTAAAAACACACAAATTTCCAAGCCAATATGAACTTTTTCCATTCAATATGAACTGCCTACTGACCATACACCATGCTCTCCAATAGGATGGCTTTTTCGACGTTGCGCTGACAGAAGATGACCTCGCGGACCACCAACGGCTGCGTGATGCATGGCAGCGACGCGCGAGCAGCATCCTCAAGTAAGACCATTCGTCGTTCGAGAAACGTCCCATACTCACCACGCTCGAACATAGCATAAGTGTGGAGGGCGAGGTAGCTCTTGACGCGAGCCTTCAAGACGCTGAAGCAGCTTTCGATCGGGTTCAGCATCGGTGAGTAGGGGCCAAGGCGCAGCAGCGTCATGTCATCGTGTTGGACAACGCGCCGGCCCATTCGCAAACGGAAAGTCGCAAGTGGCATTGACAGTTTACATGTTGGGCGCGGAAATAGCGCGCTTCTGTGGTTCACTTTGATTGGAACAAAATTCATGTTGATCCGAACTTTTGCACTCCACATCTCTCGTGAAAATTTATATTTTATATCCGATTCAACTTGATTGGAAAAAGTGCGCAACTTGATTGGGAAAGGTGTAGTCAAAAATATTACTTCGAAGTATTAGATAGAGGAGTCCAGATGGAAATCTCTGTCTAGATGGATAGTATATATTAACGTTACACGGTAACTGCATCGCTATTGGTTAGCTATCGCATAACCACTGAGATGCACTTAACCCCTAGTAAGAGGTGAGGTGGTCTGAGCATACAAAGTTCCTTATAAATCTCACTGAAACAGTATTTATATTTAGAGATAATGAGGGGTTTACGAAATGACTACGAAACCCTTTATAACTTGATATGTTCCTCACTTCGATAAAGGTTTGACCCACACATTGACATTTCAAGATCCGAGGACACAAGAGCCATGACAGGTACACATGCCATTCAAAGTTTATACTTCTTGATGAGATCATACATAGTTGGGTACGTCATCTCATCTAGTCTACGCTTGCTTACGTCGTTCTCCATCCCTACGACTAGCATCGAATGGCCAAGCCGCCCAAGACAAGATGCAAACAAGGCTGACCGGTCGACCACGGCCATGCGCTTCCCACTGCTCGTTGCTCAGCCCAACATCCTTGAAGTGCGAAGGGAGGCACGAAAACTCAACGTCGTTCACATTGTGCCCTAGTGTGTTTATAAGTATATATTTAATTAATCACACATGTGCTTTGTTTAAAGCTGGAATATTGAACGTCGACTAACCTGCTGCTGCACGTCCAACGAACTGGTCGCCACCTGAACCGGCAAAAATGTATCGACCTTGGACACTTCCAAGCGTCCAACCGGCTCGGAGCCACACATTCACGGCTTCTGGTCCCCCAGGTGTGTTGGATAGCTCGCTGGCGACACCCTTTCGAAACGAGTGCGTGCCGATGTCTATAACTAAAACACCAAACGATGACATCTCAGGGGAGTGCAATTCACAGGTCTTTGACAGCCACGCTGAAAATCGTTCGCCCGCGTTTTCGCCAAAAACAAAGTTGGTCGATCGCCCACGTTGGGTGTCTCGTGTAAAAATCAGTACAGCCAAACTAATCATACAATATATTTATATTATGGTACATTATCCGATGAAAATAAATACACCTCAGAATCGGACCAATTGCTGGATTTCCAGGGTTTGCAAAGATGTGGCGAGGGGTACAGTTCTTCCCCACTTGGTCGTTCTTGGTAAACGCATACTGAACCACTAACGCGTCGCCTACATTTCATGGTCAACCAAATTGCTAATGTGGTAATTATAAAAGGTACACCTTCCCATGCCACATGGTCATATCTAATGGCAGCTACTGATGCCGACCGTGCGATCAAGTTCCAGCAAAACAGCAAAAATGGGTGAACCACTGTACTGAGGTTGTGTTCGGCTTCACTGCCAAGAGCCTTTGCTGCCAAGAAGCAATATCCTATAAACTTGTGAACAACATGTATATATATAATAGATATTATGTAAAATATATCGACCGTCAAATGTCATTGGTCGATTTGCTTCACCAATCGCCACGTCTCCACTGTCCTTCAGTTGAGCAACCTTATGCTTGTACCCGCATGCAAAGTCTGAATCGTTGTTAACGTATGAATCAAATCAAGGTTTATGCACGCATATCGTACCTGCCAATAGTGTTTCCAGTTCATCGGACACGCGGACATTGGACTCTATTGGAACTGCTGTGGTTCAACCTCAGGACCACTTGGTCCTCGCTTCACACATTCATACGCTAAGAAGCCTTTGCAGGCGATTGGATCGAGGGGAAGATCAACCTCATCATCACCTGGTCCCCTGTTGTTGAATCACCTGGACTTATGTGGTCGGCGTGCGGCACGAGCGTGCGGGTGCTTGCATTGCAAAATAGTGACTCTGAAACTCTCTCCGGATACAAAATTTCGTTCTATTTCGTAAAACCCATTATATCTCTGGATATAATTTAGGCATACAAAAAAATGTCAAATCAAATTATGTGTATCTGGGTTTACGAAATTTGGACGCAAGGATTTCACGTCAAGAACAACGAAAGCAAGTACCATACTTTACGACTCAATGTTGAGTGTGGTACTCCGTTGCACATCGCCAGTTTCTGTTACGACGTTTTTAACTTTGATTGGCAATTCGAATGCGTTGTGGGGAGTATGTGTTTTCGCGACTTGTATGCGTTTTAAATCGAGTACAACCGAATCGGACGAAATGGAGCCTGAATGAGGGAGTCCTGGTATCGCAAGATGACATGCTTCTGCTCGTACGTGTACCTCTCGAGTATTTGTACTCTATGGGCTTATTAATAATTGCCATTTTCAAATATCGAGCCACTACGTGGATATCTATATATATCAAAATAGTAAATGTGTCTGTGTGTGTGTGTGTCTGTTTGTCACGTGTGTGCGTTCCAGCCTTTTGATTGGTCAAAAATGAACTCTTCTTACTGTTTGATTCGTTCAAACACAAAATACTGCGTTTTGATTCGCTCCAAGGCCATAATTCAACCAATCATCAAAGCTATAGTCTCAGGATGCATCCAATCGACCAATCAGGAACGAGGCAAATCCAATTATGCGAGTACAGCCAGCCACGTCATTGACTTGACTTTTGTTCGCAGTCTCCACTGCGTAGGGGTAGAGTTTTTGGGTGATCAAGTTGTTGTTGTCTGTGCACATAGCATAGTTTAATCAAGTAAAAAAAATAACCGTCAAAGTGCGTCGTAATAAGCTTTCTCAAGATATTCAATGCACTATATATGACTATAGCTTCGTAAGCATGGTACAAGCAACATAAACACAATAGAAGTCTAATTTGACTGTATTATCGTATTTGTACTGAAAGTACAGTACATACATATTCCAGTACGTACATTACAACGTACATCAGTAGTACATAGAAGATACTACAAGTACGTACTAGTACATGTAGGTGACACTATCTACATGTAGGTGACACTATGTACTGTACGATACTGAACGGAATATATCTACAGTTAACGTTAACCTAGGGGGGGTTCAAAGGAGTTAGTTAGTACGAGTACTAGGAGCACAATATTTAACTGTATACTAGTTGTTTGTACAGTATGTAATACTAGGAACGGAGTAGTATCATGTACTGTATGCGGATGTACGAATTGAAGTGGGGTACGTACTAGTACTATTAATAGTCTACTGTACCTCTTAATAGCAGTAGTATTTCCAGGAGTGTAATACAGTACTACTAGCAGTACTTACTAGTACTAGTAGTACTACATAGTACTTGAAGTACATACTACTACAGTATGCAGTAGCGCTCCCTAGTATTAGTACTACTAATAGTACAACAACGTAGTACTGACACTGGAATTGAGTGGTCTATTCAACGAATACGTAGTATAAATAACGTTACTACTACGTAGTATTAATAGAAGGATATGATGAACACAAGGAGACTGCGCCCAAAGCGTAAGCGGTATACAATATACCATACTAACTTTCATACTAAAAAGTGAAAAGTACCAAATCGACTCAGGACATCACAGCCAGCCACGTCAATGACTTGACTTTTGTATGCACA